TTTACATTTCATATTCGCAATACAAGGTACAATAATTTTAAACTACCCCAAACAAGGGGTGTTATGACAAGACTTTGTTCCGTGTTGAAACACAGTGCTGAATGGTGTGCTTGTGCAGTTGGCGGACATCCTTGAAAGAAGTAAAACTCTTTTACAAACTGCTGCGCGACTGTTACAAGTGTGTGTTGCTGCTGCTGCTGCTGCTGCAACGTTCTGTGTGTGTGTGCGCTGATGTAACGGTCTGCGTGTGCGTGTGTGTTGTAACTCCATGTGTAATCGTCAAGGAGAAATTCTAGGATGTAGAAGAGTCACCCCGATAGTATGTATGCCATATTTACTTGCACTGTTCACTATTGCAGTAAGGCATACAGTTCTGCAAGCATGGTCATATCTTAGAGTAGCTGCAAACACTAAGCACCTCTTGCATGAAGCCCTAGGCAGAGCTAAGGTCACAGACTGAAAAGAGGAAGGTCTTGGGTGGCGAAAGCTGAGGACACAATTAGACATGTGCGGCCTTGACAAATGTGAGGGAGGAGAGGCGTGGTGAAAGTATCCAAGCAAGAACCTAACTTGTGTAGAGTTCTTATCACTGTAAGTCGTGTGCAGAGACTGCCAGCTGGTATTGTAGAATAAGAAGTTCAACAAATGGTTGATGACAATTCCGGCCGAGGTAATGTGAGAGGTAGACAAAGTGCATAGGGTTTCATAGCAACAGCTAATGGCCGTCGTTTAGCTTATCAAAACCTGGCATATAATATCACCACGTCTAGTTTGAAAGTGAAGGTGGAGGCAGACACTATTGCCTTCCGAGGGATTGAGAATCAATTGTACTCACATTTTCGTAATTGTAACTGACTTACAGAAAAGTTTCTGAAAGGTGAAGAAAGGCATGCTCCGTGCTAAATGGCAAGCATCGCTTCAGAGATCCTGGGTCGTTAGCGCCCTTTGGATATTTTCTGGAGGTCATGCCGGCGTGTTGGGAGACTGGTCAGTTTTCCACTTTTTTGTTGTCGTCTCTTTGTAAGCAGGTTGTAGCCTGGTGATCTGGTTTCCTATAATAATTCAATGTTTCTTAAATAGTAGCAATCAAAAACACCACTGACGGCTTGCTATGCCAGTCGCGCGGCGATGCAGAAAAAAAAATTCTTACCTGTTTGGTTCCGGCCTCCTTCAAGGCGAGCCATTGTCCCATGTGCCTCAAATTCCGCCGCTCAACCTGCTGGAAACATCATTCACTGTGAGCAGAGTTCTGATATATGTGTTTACTGTTTAATGTGTGCCATTTTAATTGGCTGATATATGTGTTTTTAATAAGTTCCTGGGTGATAGCTTGGTGTCCCTCTCCGAGTGTATTGTCCATCCCTAATGCCTGGGTTCCACATTCGTCCTGTTTTGCCTGCTCCTGTTGTTGGAAATGCCACATTTGTTCAGGTTATGATAGGTGTCCATGTTTTTAAAATATTTCCAGGTAAAGGTCACTTGTGTTGATTGTCCGAATGTTCTCTTATGCTGTCCTGAGAGAGTTCAGTCCTACTAAATGATCCATGCTGCTCACAGAGTGTACCGTGCAAGAACTACTCAAACATAATTTAAACTCTTCTCTCTGAATAGGCTGTTCGTAGAACCGAAGCTCGAGGTCAGGGCGTAGCATCCTTTCGTTCACAAAGTCGTCGGCTCCAGATGGTGGCCAAAAATGCCACCTCTGGAACAATTGAGGACAGTTTTGAACTGTTTGAGGGACTGACTTGGTCGGTTTATGTTGATGGTGACGTCAAAGTTAGTGCCCATTCAGACATCAGAGAAAACACGCAGCTCCGCTACTTTGCTCGACTCAGTGAATCTTTCAGGTAGGATTATGTAGCTGAACCTACTTTCGTGATATGTTTCTTATACTGTAGCTTACTGTTACCTACATTAGCTATATGTTTCTTATACTGTAGCTTACTGTTACCTACATTAGCGATATGTTTCTTATACTGTTGCTAGACTGTTACCTACATTAGCGATATGTTTCTTATTCTGTTGCTAGACTGTTACCTACATTAGTGATATGTTTCTTATACTGTTGCTAAACTGTTACCTACATGGAGAATGTGTTTCTTGTACTGTAGCTTACTGTTACCTACATTAGTGATATGTTTCTTATACTGTAGCTAACCTGTTACCTACATTAGCGATATGTTTCTTATACTGTAGCTAACCTGTTACCTACATTAGTGATATGTTTCTTATACTGTAGCTAAACTGTTACCTACATTAGTGATATGTTTCTTATACTGTAGCTAACCTGTTACCTTCATTAGTGATATGTTTCTTATACTGTAGCTAAACTGTTACCTACATTAGTGATATGTTTCTTATACTGTAGCTAAACTGTTACCTACATTAGTGATATGTTTCTTATACTGTAGCTAAACTGTTACTTACAGAGGAATGTGTTTCTTGTACTGTAGCTTACTGTTACCTACAGTGGCGATATGTTTCTTATACTGTAGCTAAACTGTTACCTACATTAGTGATATGTTTCTTATACTGTAGCTAAACTGTTACCTACATTAGTGATATGTTTCTTATACTGTAGCTAAACTGTTACCTACATTAGTGATATGTTTCTTATACTGTAGCTAAACTGTTACCTATAAAAGTGATGTTTCTTGTACTGTAGCCGAACTGTTACCTTCAAAAGTGATGCGTTTCTTGCAATGTAGCTGAACTGTTATCTACAAAAGTGATGTATTTCTTGTAATGTAGCCGCACTGTTACCTACAAAAGCGATGTGGTTCTTGTACTGTAGTGTGAGTGTCATACAATTGATTAATTAATGTTATACAAAGGTTGATTTATTTTGATGTGCAAAAGCTCACCTTCAGTGTTGTACGTCATGTCAACTGGAATGTTTTACGACGGTTGAAATAGAATGATGTGCAATTGTTCAGTTTGAATGTTTTACATTATGTTAACTGGAATGCTTTATAACGTGTCGAATGACAAAATGGAATGTAAAACTATTAAGTATATACATACATGCACACAAACACACGAGGGATATTTAATGTACCTGCAATAGGCAATTGGTAACTTGGAGTTGTATACAACGTACATAAGTGTAAATAAAACATATTTTAAGCTGGCGTATCTGTAGCTTAGGCGTTGCGAACGAGCTTCGTAATGCCGGGGTGCGGGTTTGATCCCTGCTGTGGACGATTTGTCTTGCGTTGGTCTCAATTGTGTTAGCGGGAGCTGACCGATCAGGAATCAATGGCAAACTACTGAGCATAAAAATGTGCCTAGAAAAAGCACAACAGCCACAAAATGCTGGGGTTGGTTCTGCAACGCCCTGTAAAGGATGCTCAACTAACTGTTTATAGTTTAAATTATAATTTTTTAAAAATAGGAAGAAAAGAAAAGTACACAGTTCAACCATACACAAAGATGCATATTACATACTTCACACGTATTTACTATTAGTGAACATATTTTAAGAGTAACATTTTACTTTCCACCAATTAGAACATTCTATTTCGAGCCGCCAGACATGGACCCCAGACCTCTAGAAGCAAGTGTTAACCTGATCCCACTTGGGTTACAGGATGAGAGCTTGCGAGGGAAGCTCACCTTCAGCTTTAAGTTTCAGATAGAAGAGTCCACAATGGTAGAATATCTGGTGCCTGACTCGCCAAGGGAGACAATTACATTAGTGCAGAAGATGCTGGAGAAGCCAAAGGTAAGTTCACCCCACTTGAATCAGTCTGCGGCGTCCGTGGCTTAAGCGTAGCGAGTTCGACCTATAATTCCAACATACTGCGATCGAAACCCACTGCTGGCTGCCTGGATTTTTATCATGGTATTGGGGACGCAGGTCGACCCAAGCTTAAATGGGTACCAGGATGGCTGTCCTAGGGAAGTAAAGACGGATCGCGTAATGCAGACCACATTACCCACTTAGTGCCGATTGGTCTGTAAGAAAAAAAAAAATATGGAATGCTCTTCCTTTGTGGCGCCTAGGGCATGAAAATAGATCTTTACTTTTTTTTTTTTAAAACTGATATGAGCATAGAAACGTAATTAGCCTGTTTGTCAGGCTGGGTGAATATTAGTTTTACAATTCCATCTTGATGAGGATTTGAATCCAAAACCTGTGGACGAGCAAGTGAGCATTTAGTCGTTAGTCTAGCGTGGTTGCATGAGAATATGGTGCATTATTTTTGTTTCAGGAACGAGGTAGTCAAATGAACACCTGTGTATGTATTCAGACTGAATGACTAACTTACTGACTGTCTGTACGAATGATCAACTATAAGTCAGATTGGCTGACTGTCTGTCCGTCTGTGTATTTTCTGAGTAAAAGCTTAATAATAATATTATGTATAAATGAACATAAAGTCATCATTAACATTACTACCACCACAGTCATCATCGTTGTTGTCGTCGACAAAGTACTGTGATGTTACACGGAAGAAGGTATCAACTGATATTTTCCTCCTTATCACTTCGCTGCTGATAGTATGCGTGTACAGCTAGCATCGTAGTACATACTGGTAAATGGTAGCTTTATCATATACAATTTCTACATGAGTGGCGTAAACAGGCAGCACGTTCTTTTAGAAAGTATCAGCGGTTATTGCAGCCGTTACATGCACGCCACGCCATTGATATATACATATGATCCACACACAAAAAAACTATTCTCGAAACATATATCAACCCCACCCCCCTACAAACATAAAACGATCCACCTTAAAACTCATGTTGTGCGTGTATATATGTATGTATGTATGTGTGTAAGTGTATGTGTGTATGTGTGTGTGTATGTGTGTGCGCGCGCGCACTTAACAACATGCTTGGTGGTAACAATTTTATTGTTCGTTACTCCCTGTAAAGTAACAGGTGACATCTTCGCTTCGTGATACTAAACATATGTTCTCTAGGAGCCGGAGCCAGAACCCAAGGTTGAAAGTCCAAAGGAAGAGACCAAGCCTCAGATTCCTCCTGTTCCGAAAATGAAGGAACCCGCTGTGAAAGTCACAAGGAGGATAATCACCTTTAAGAAACCAGTCATAATTCGTGAGTTACCTTTCTTGAGGATTTCTTCTATTTGAGCGTTCACTGGCTGTAAAGATAAAGATGAGAGGACCGGGTTTCATCCCACATGGTTCAGACTCTCTCGACAGAACAGGCGGTGACGATCCTCAAAGATCTCTTAAAAATTGCACTCGTGAACTGAACGACCCTGCCGTGAAACGAACCCACGACCTTCAGAGCACGAGGCATACGGCTTGACCACTTCGTCACGGAGACCCCCTTCACCGGCTGTAAACTCCAGCCAAGTGTTATAGTTGATCATCCATCGATGGACTTAGTCTTGTTTCAGAGCTATACATTTTCGTGCACATCCATGCACCCGAAAGTCTATTCGAATCAGCATTTGCCACACTAGCGCCCTATTTTGGAGTGAAATTAATAAATTTAATGCTCCTTCTCCCGCTCCCCTCTCCCAACACACACAGATAGATATGTCGTACAATGCGATTATTTAGGGATATTTCCTCTAAAGTCGGATTGCGTCTAACTAAGCGACAAGAAACTAAGAGTCTGCACACAAACAAGCCAGATCTATGAAACAGGTGGGCATGCAAAACTGGAGTTTCTTAACAGGACCAAAGTCCAGAAACCGACGAACAGCGAGAATTTCCCCCTGGAGTTTGTAGCTGAAGAAGAGAAGATTTATTCCGCATCTGAAAGAATTAAAAAAATAAAAAACACAGACGCTGAGAAGCTATCGATGTTGACATGATACTACACTTATATTTTCTCCTATTCAGCACTCTGTCACTCTGACTGACTGGTATTCTTTCTTTTCCAAACCAGTACTTGAATGTATGATACTCCAGCAATCCGACAAGCTGCATCTTGGATGTCACTTCAGTATAACATTCTGCGGTGCTATTTACGATTCTCTCTCATTTGTTCTGACTCTTTCTCGCTTTATGTACGTCTCTAACTCTTCAACTCTCAGTCATTCTCTTTCCTACCTAACCTGGTTCCCTCTCTCATCTACTTATCTTCCCTTTCTATATTCTCTTCCCAAGCCTTCTCTCTCTCTCTCTCTCTTTCTCTCTCTCTCTCTCTCTCTCTCTCTCTCTCTCTGCAGTGACAAATGAAGTTCCCTGAAGTCGTGAAAAGAATAACTTGGCCAGTGTAATCAAGAACAACTATGATACCAGTTTTTTTAAAGACATTTGATAATGTCATTGCTATAATGCTCTGAAAAGAAGCACAACTAAAAAGAGATGAAGCCTTATTACAGGTTTTTCGAAAACAGAGTCTTACGACGCATCTTCGGACCCATCAAAGATGCAAACAGTCGGAAATTAAGAGAGAAGCAACAACGAAATTCATAATATTTATATCACTTTTGATCTCCGGCATCATGAGAACTAAAAGACTTGAATGGTTGGGGCATATTGAAAGACTCTTTGATGACAGAGAAGTAAAAACTGTATACACAAGGAGGACGAATAGTCGTAGACGAAGAAGACGATGGAAAGATAATTTCCAGACAGACCTGCAAACACGTGGTGTCACCAACTGGAAAGAGAAGGCTAACCAGAGAGATTATTAGGGGCGGGTGATATCTGCAGCAATGAACCTCAAAGGCTCGGAATGCTGAAGAAGAAGTAGAATAAAATGGAGTACTTCATATTCTGCATACATTAACGTCCAATTATTTGACTTTTTCTGTCTTCTATGCGGAAACATGTATTGACAAACAGAGCCTCATCCTCGGGTACCTATCTTCGAGAGGCCATTACCAAACATTTTCTCTGGTATTTATTCATTATGGCAGTACAGCTTAGCCAGTGTGTTTTCAATGTTTGCTATCCTTTAGCTAGAGCAGCGGTTCTCAGTTGGAAAAGGCCGGTGGACACCTCTTAGTTTAGTAGGTCTGCCACAAACCCCACACTCTGTAATAGTCACATTGAACAGAAGAAGAAGAAGAAGAAGAAGAAGAAGAAGAAGAAGAAGAAGAAGAAGAAGAAGAAGAAGAAGAAGAAGAAGAAGAAGAAGAAGAAGAAGAAGAAGAAGAAGAAGAAGAAGAAAAGAAGAAGAAGTAGAAGAAAAAGAAAAAGAAAAAGAAGAAGAAGAAGAAGAAGAAGAAGAAGAAGAAGAAGAAGAAGAAGAAGAAGAAGAAGAAGAAGAAGAAGAAGAAGAAGAAGAAGAAGAAAAGAAGAAGAAGTAGAAGAAAAAGAAAAAGAAAAAGAAGAAGAAGAAGAAGAAGAAGAAGAAGAAGAAGAAGAAGAAGAAGAAGAAGAAGAAGAAGAAGAAGAAGAAGAAGAGAAGAAGAAGAAGAAGAAGAAGAAGAAGAAGAAGAAGAAGAAGAAGAAGAAGAAGAAGAAGAAGAAGAAGAAGAAGAAGAAGAAGAAGAAGAAGAAGAAGAAGAAGAAGAAGAAGAAGAAGAAGAAGAAGAAGAAGAAGAAAAGAAGAAGAAGAAGAAGAAGAAGAAGAAGAAGAAGAAGAAGAATATGTATAAACATAAATTTGAAAAAAAAATTGGGTTTTGATTTGTGTATGTGTAAATCATAGCACGAACCACTTGAGTTTGCTTGGTGGACACCTGGGGATCCACGGCTCCATCAGCCTAGAACCACTGGCTTGGCAGATATTGTCTCTTTATGCATGCTGCATTTCTGAGTGTTGTCAATGTGTTAGTACTTCTGGATCATTGTGAATTATTGTTGTCATGTCTGCATGCATAGTAGAATATGATGTCGTGTAGATACATAGATGAGGACACCAAATCCCAGTGCGGGTTGAAGAGGCCAATTCTGTTCAATGAAGGTGGTGGTGGGGTGGAGGTGAGGGTACAAAATAGACCGACTTCTATTTAACTCAGCTACTGATTATGGATTTGCTGAAATCGGATATTTTGGGCCTAGAGGCGCATATAGTACAGACTAGCTGCTAACCATAAAACAACCTGCCTTTTGCGCTTTTAACGACAATCTAAGAAGAAGAAGATGATGATGAAGAAGAAGAAGAAGAAGAAGAAGAAGAAGAAGAAGAAGAAGAAGAAGAAGAAGAAGAAGAAGAAGAAGAAGAAGAAGAAGAAGAAGAAGAAGAAGACGAAGAAGAAGAAGAATAAAAAGAAAAAAAGAAGGACGAGAAGCTGAATAAGAAGAAGAAGAAGAAGAAGAAGAATAAAAAGAAAAAAAGAAGGAGGAGAAGCTGAATAAGAAGAAGAAGAAGAAGAAGAAGAAGAATAAAAAGAAAAAAAGAAGGACGAGAAGCTGAATAAGAAGACGAAGAAAAAGAAGAATAAAAAGAAAAAAAGAAGGAGGAGAAGCTGAATAAGAAGAAGAAGAAGAAGAAGAAGAAGACGATGCTGATATTCCCAAATCGAACAGAGGACACACATTCTCACTGTATACAACCACAGTAATAGAATCGACTCAAAATATTTAAAAAAAAAAGAAAAGAAAAAAAAAGGAAAAAAAAAACCACAAATAATCTGTTAAGTTCCTCAAGCAACCTGAACTGAGATAATAACTAGAACACTCTATTTAGGTAAACTGCTTTCATGGGCCTCATATAGTTTTCGCTTATCTAAAATACCTCAACCTCACACCCCCCCCCCCCCCGCATACACACACAAACACACAACTTCCCTCACACGAACACACAATAGCATGAATAATCACTGGTTTCCCCAAAAACCACCCTATAGTAGCTTTCCGATAGCCATGCGGTTATGTAGTTTGTTCTCATTGTGATTTAGTGTGCACCAATTGACGTCTTCTGTTGTAACTGATCTTTTCCCGCACCATTACACCTCCACCACCGTGCAGTAGAACTTGGTCATCACAATTTTGGACTAAAAGTTCATTTCGACCCTAGGCTATCTATCATGACGCTGCAGTTAAAAGAAAGATTCGTCAAGGAACCAGACACGTCTCCATTGATTTTCGAATGCCCAGGGACGATGTTTTTTGGGCCGAAAGAAGGCCATTATGACGGTCGTGACGCGTAAGGACAGGTCATGGAGAGGTCGTAGTGCCCAAAGTCCAATGTTGCGCAATCTGTTCCGAACCGTTTGATCAGACAATGACGTCCCGGAGGCAATGACTTTTCAGTTGAATAAGCTGTTGTAAGCATGTCTCTGTGGTGACGAAGCCGATGAAAGCGATTTTCCGCTACCGTTGTCACTCTGGGTCGTCCACCTCGATGTCGGTCTTCAACTAAACCATAGGCTTGGAACCGGTGCCACAGTCGACTAATGGTACTCTGATGCACGTTTATATGCCTGACAACCCGACTTTTTTTCTGCCTGCAATTAGCCAATCGCAATATTCCTTTATTTTTTCGTGACTGTTTGACAACTAACGGAATGATTTAATTATCCTTTTATATGGTTGCAACTGAGTGGGCAGTGAATAGTGTTAACCCCAAAATTGTGTTGTTTTCTCCTGTGTGTATCATTGGCTGTGTTCACAATTATGGTCTTGAACACAGGCGACTTCTGCGTTGAAACGATTAAAGAAACTCCCTCAATTCACACCCACTTTTGCACTGGATACGGCAAACAACATTTAAGTCTGCTTTTCACATACTCGACAACGATATTTTACATGTACAAACTAATAAAAACGCTAAATCTTATAACTTTGCGTTTCTATTTTTGAACAGTATAGATATACGATTACAATATGAGAAAGCCAACATGTCACATTCAGTTTCGTGATAACAGGGTCTCGTCAACTAGGAAGAGTCAACATAAGATTATCAGATTATTCCCCCCCCCATACACACACACACACACACACCTCTTTACACACGCAGAGACAAAACACGCGCGCGCGCGCACGCACGCAAGCACACACGCAAAACATTTACAGCAGTGTAGCTGAACTGCAGACTGAATCCCAACATTTACAGCCCTACTTTATTTGCTCATATGTTAAAATATGTTCTCAATCGGCACAACTGTTAAAACTGGGTCACCAGTTTAACTGCGTCCAGCTGATATTGTTATGTAGTATCCCAATCAAACTGGGGATTGGAAAGATGCATATGATTACAGTGACGTGTAACGACAACTAGAGCAATTTATTTGATTACTGTGAGGTCTGATGACCCCAACTGGAACTTCTTCTTCTGCGTTTATACCACCCCCCCCCCCCCCAGTGGAGCAGACTCCCTTAACAAACTCACGCCAAGTCGTTCTATCCTTCGCTACCGCATGCTGCTCTCCCCATGTCCTCTCGATCTTTTTAACTTTATTATCTAACTCCCTTCGCCATGTGTTTTTTGGTCTTCCTTTATTTCTATGACCATGTGGGTTCCGGTGAAAAGACATTCTTGTTATATTGTTCTCAGGTTTTCACAGCGTGCGTCCTATCCAACGCTAGCGTCTTTTTCTTCACTTTTTGGTCTACTTGAACGTGTTTAGTTCTCTCCTAAAGCTCTACATTGCTGATCCTATCAGACCATTTAAATCCCTCTGTTCTGCGCAGGCACTAGTTAATGAATGTGGTTTATTAGTAACTGCTTTAGTTGTCTCCGTGCTTTCGCTCCTACAAAAGTATTCTCCTCATGGGAAGCAAAGAATATTAACACTGCACCCTATCGGGCATGTCGTAAGAGGCGACTAAGGGTTAGGTTAGGCTTGAGGTTTGCTACCTCATCCAGTAAAAACAACAGCCACAAACACCAACCAACCATAGACAAGTCCAGCTGGAACTATATATATTAACTGCCAGTGTAATTGCCAATTTTACTTTAAATTATTCTAAACGATACAACTGTTTCTTTAAACTCTTAAATTTCATCTAAAGGAGTTAGAATAGTGTCCACATCGGTAGAATAAGTTTATACACCAACTGAAATTAGGTAAGTAAGTCAATTGGTGTTTTCACGCTAGGAGCACATAGGACACCTGATTCTAGTTTCATATTTGTATAGACCAGTCAGAACTCACTCCGTCCCCATTTCCCCCGAACTTCACCTCGTACCCATTTCAGGCTGGGTGAATATTAGTTTTACAATTCCATCTTGATGAGGATTTGAATCCAAAACCTTTGGGCGAGCAAGTGAGCATTTAGCCGTTAGACTAGCGTTGTTGCTACAATTGGAATGTTATGTGGGTTTTAACAACTAGGTAAGTAAGTAGGTGTTGAGACAAGTATATCATGTTTGGAGGGACATCAACGGGTGGGAAATTATCTACTAATGCATGTGTTAAGATAAAGTGAGATGGCAGCTGCAAAGCAGAAGAAACACAGTGGCTAGAGGCACTTGGCTGTCAATCTGACTGACCTGAGTTCGATACCTCATGATAGCAGCTTTTAATAATTTTCCCAGGCTACAGGCCAAACCTATCAAAAACTAGAGAGTAAAAGCGGTCAAGGTGATGTTCAACATATCATTAATCGATTCACTATGGTTTTATGAAACCATATTTAATCACCACATACCGTGTGCGTCAATCGTGTGCTAATGGTCCTTTATGCTCTACGGTGGTAACTCGGATCACCAACACCTCTAGTCAAGAACAAATCGGCCCATGAACACGTTTCCGAATAAATTTTGAATCAAACCGCGAAAATCCCTCGGTGCACGAACACCATGTTTTCGGTTGGCGAACAGCATCAGTTGTTATGAGGTTTGTACTCAAGAAGAATTGCAGAGTTGCAACTTAAACACATCAAAGTTAGTGGAACTGAGATCAACAACGTGAACACATCAAAGTTAGCGGAGAAGTGCTGAGATCAACGAAAACTGTAGCAAGTGAAGTGGAACGGGATCAGGGCACACACAAACCCATAAAAACGATATCTTTCTGTGGCGAGAGAACGGATTAATTAGATTTTTATTAATTGCAATGGGAAAAGTGGTTTAGGTTGGCGAAGATTTCAGCTCGCTAATGGAGTCAAAGAACGGATTAAGTTCGTCACCCGAGGTAACACTTTTGTAATAAGAGTATGTACGAGATAAAAATGCATGCACATTATTGCTCTGTGATTGTTTTGCTGTTTGTTGTAAGATGAATTTACATTTTATAATGCACTTTATGTACTATTGCACGTTTCACAATTTGTAATAACATGTAGCTGTTAAAGATAATGCTGTTTCCTATATTGAAATCGCCAACCTAGATTACATATTGTTAAACAGAAGAATTATTAATATCATTATCAAGAGTCTGGCCGATCATACATCTCCACAACATATATCAGCTCTTGTGCTGAGACTCCACCACGCCATGACCAAAAGCTGTTTAGAATCGATTCGAGTTGTCTTTCCACAGATATTTCAGTGGCCACAACTTGTTTCAGTTTCCTCCCAGTCATAACATGACCCCAAGTGATGACTCTTTCTTTCTGATGTTTGTCATAAGTTGTCTTTGAGCCCTCACATCTTTCAACACATCTGGACTGCGCCTTTTAGCTAAGGATTATTGCCTAAAATCACACCTATGAGGCCTCACGAAATTGTTTGGCTTGTTACTAATTGTCCAGGATTCATACCCGCATTTATAATACTGGCTCTAAATGAACATTGCATGTTGTTATAGTATTATCATTTCTTTCTCTTCAGCATTCCGAGCCCTTGAGGTTCAGTGCTGCAAGTATCACCCGCTTGCATTCACGTGTTTGTAGGTCTGTCTGGATAATATCTCTCCATATTCTTCTTGGTCTGCCTCGTGGTCGACGACCATTCAGATCCTTTGTGTGTACAGTTTTTACCTCTCTGTCATCTGACATTCCCTCAGTATGCCCACGCCAATTCAATCTAATAACCCTCACGGTGCCAGTCATCAATGGTGAGTTAAACGGATTATGAATTTCATTGTTCCTACTCATTCCCCATTCCCCACGGTTCGCATCTTTGATGCGTTCAAAAATTAGTCGTTATAAGACTTTATCTCTGTTAGCTGTACTTCAAGTTTCAGGGCCATGTAAAACAACTGGAGCCATACTACTATAAAGTAATAAATTGTATATAGCTTCTAACAGTGTTGTTTGTTGTCAATAAGTAGTATACTTTCTTCTTTGCATGTACATGATATTTATTATAGTACCTGAGCTATGTGTACTGTTATAGTACCATAAATTAGCATCATTTGCTTTCAGTGAATTTAATTAAACAGTTAAATAATAGACCTATCTAACTCCACTGGCGAAATTGGCTTCTGGCTGTGTTTTTATAAATCTTAGGCAGTCGATGTAAGATGTGGTAAACAGCAAACCGACCCTCTTTACTTCCCACGTCAATTCCTTGTGGCATTTTAAGCTATGTCGATCTGAGTGCAAAGCTCATTAATTTAAAAAAATCAGAATTAAAGACGTTTAGCACCAAATGAAGCGTCCAGCATCTAGATTACTTCGGAGAAACCCCAACCCCCCAAACCCAAATTTTTTCGGTTCAGTCTCGAGCTCCTAAACAGATTAGTCTCCACCACAATAGATAAAGATACTGACAGGCTAAAGTGCAACCAAAAAAAAAAAAAGCAATGCATCGCATCAGAGGTCCCGGGTAGTTTCTTAGTTACATACTCCATTTTGATTTCGAGAGAATGGTGAAGCGGAAGTGACTAGATGATCTGGCCAAACGGAACACTCAGAAATAGCAAGAGGGATTTATAACCATACAGTTAATGGCACTATAGGAATTGGAAATCTGCCCTAGCTGCTGAAGATAGAAGTGGAGCGTTTATGGGAAAGTCCCAAGTGCTGTGATGTCGATTTTCAACTCAGCTCAGCTCAGTTGAACGCAGAATAGATTGCAAGAAGCTGATATAAAAATTAGCCCTGTATTACTTCGTGTTTATTTTTGTTCGGTTTGTGCTGACTTCACACATTTACATTCATTCTTTTCGCTACAAACGGCAACAGCTGAGCGGGAATCTAAAGCTTTGACGGGACGATCTCTGATGACATTGGCCAAACTTGTACCTGAAGGTTTGAGTCTGGCTGTTCATCTGCAGCTTCCGGACTCTACAATCACAGGGATTGGGTTCGATGCTCTCAGCAACAACCTCGGCATGTCGGACGTTTCCTACAAGATTCTGCTGCACTGGAAAAGAAAGGTGAGTGTAGGAATGAATTTACAAAACCGTCCGCTTAGTGTTCTTTTTCTTCTTGTTTCTCTAGTTCTCATTCTTCTTGTTCTTCTTCATCTTCAAGATCATCATCATCATTTTCGTCTTTTTCTACTACTAATACTACTACTGCTGCTGCTGCTTGTAATTGTTCTTCTTATTTGAATTATTGTTCTTCTTCCTCTTGTTCTTTTTGTTCTAGTTCTTCATATTCACGATCAACTTCTTTTTCTTCTTCTTCTTATTTTTCTTTTTCTACTTCTACTACTGCTGCTTTTGCTGCTGCTGCTGCTATTGCTACTACTACTACTACACCTTAATGCACCCCAACAAACTAATGAACGGATGGGAATTTGGAGGTCTTGAGTGAAAAATAGGATGATTTAAAAAAAGAATATTTAAACCCATAAATTTGCTCCGTTTGGATATCTAGTTAAAGGGAGAAGATAAAAAAAAAAAAAAAAACAGCAAGTTATAAGTTAACGTTCAAAGCGAGAGTGTCGATTTTTTCGCACGGCCGTCTATACCATATAGCTCTGTTTCTTTTTGCAAAAGATGCCCTTACCGAAATAGCATGAAAAAACGAACCTTGCGTTAATAGCGGTACACAAACCCAAGGAAAAAAGGCCAAGAAGAAACGTTCGATTAGCCACACCATGACAGTAGCCCAGCCAGCCACACCATGACAGCAGCCCGACAAGGCACACCATGACAGCAGCCCAGCCAGCCACACCATGACAGCAGCTCAGCTAGCCACACCATGACAGTAGCCCAGCCAGCCACACCATGACATCAGCCCGACAAGCCACACCTTGACAGCAGCCCAGCCAGCCACACCATGACAACAGCCCAGCCAGCCACACCATGACAGCAGCCCGACAAGGCACACCATGACAGCAGCCCAGCCAGCCACACCATGACCATAGCCCAGCCAGCCACACCATGACAGCAGCCCGACAAGCCACACCATGACAGAAGCCCGGCCAGCAACACCATGACAGCAGCCCGGCCAGCCACACTATGACAGCAGCCCGACCAGCCACACCATGACGGCAGCCCGACCAGCCACACTCTGACAGAAGCCTGACCAGCCACACCATGACGGCAGCCCGACCAGCCACACCATGACGGCAGCCCGACCAGCCACACTCTGACAGAAGCCTGACCAGCCACACCATGACAGCAGCCCGACCAGCCACACCATGACCATAGCCCAGCCAGCCACACCATGACAGCAGCCCGACAAGCCACACCATGACAGCAGCCCGCCAGCTACACCATGACAGCAGCCCGACCAGCCACACCATGACAGCAGCCCGACCAGCCACACTCTGACAGAAGCCTGACCAGCCACACCATGACAGCAGCCCGCCAGCTACACCATGACAGCAGCCCGACCAGCCACACCATGACAGCAGCCTGACCAGCCACACCATGACAGCAGCCCGACCAGCCACACCATGACAGCAGCCCGACCAGCTACACCATGACAGCAGCCTGACCAGCCACACCATGATTGCAGCCTGACTAGCCACACAATGACAGCAGCAAGACCAGCCACACCATGACAGCAGCCCGCCAGCTACACCATGACAGCAGCCCGACCAGCCACACTATGACAGCAGCCTGACCAGCCACACCATGACGGCAGCCCGACCAGCCACACCATGACAGCAGCCCGACCAGCAACACCATGACAGCAGCCCGACCAGCCACACTCTGACAGAAGCCTGACCAGCCACACCATGACAGCAGCCCGCCGGGCAACACCATGACAGCAGCCTAACCAGCCACACCATGACAGCAGCCTGACCAGCCACACCATGACAGCAGCCCGACCAGCCACACCATGACAGCAGCCCGACCAGCTACACCATGACAGCAGCCTGACCAGCCACACCATGACTGCAGCCTGACCAGCCACACAATGACAGCAGCCCGACCAGCCACACCATGACAGCAGCCCGCCAGCTACACCATGACAGCAGCCCGACCAGCCACACTATGACAGCAGCCTGACCAGCCACACCATGACAGCAGCCCGACCAGCCACACTATGACAGCAGCCTGACCAGCCACACCATGACAGCAGCCTGACCAGCCACACCATGACAGCAGCTCACCCCGACCACCGGATCAAAAATGACCTTGGCTCCCAGGTCGACCTAGCCTTGAGAGGTTACCGGGTGCAGTCCCGGGAAGTAAAGGCGTCTGGCGTGATGCTGACCACATCACCTATCTTGTGTCGATTGGTCTGTAAAAATATAGGTCTAGCCCTATATGCACTATACGCCCAAAGGCGTGGAAAAGGGTCCTTTGCTTTTTTTGCCGACGACCGGTACTAACAAGAACCCGCCAGTTCCGGACCAGTCAGCATTCAGGCCAGCATAAGACGGTCAGCAAAATCAACATTCAATATAAAAACAGCCAGTTTCGTTAAGACAAATATAACTGCAGCGGTATGGGCATCACGTCTTCTAGAATGGAAAATATTCGGAACACTTTGGAAAACACAAGGACAAAGTAATAAGGGTTGTGAACCAGACGGTGGAATGACCCACGAGGAAAAACATCAGGGAGATAAGGACAATATAAACACACACATTGGGACACGGAAAGGAGCATTCTAGCTACTAGAATAGGAGCATAAAGCCAGTGAGCTGGCTTCCATACTACGTTTTCAGCCACACAATCAGTGGAAATAAACCAGACCACATATATAACCGGAAACTGCTCTGCAAACAGCAGGTTGAACATAGTCAAGTTTTTAATTCTCCCCCCCCCCACCCAATTGGAATGAAATACCTCTTCCAAGTACCGTGGTTAAACCTGGTCATCGTGAGAATGAATCAGAATAGAGAAACATCTAGCTCCAACCATGATTCCCCATGGTAAAAATGTCAGCCGAACGATGCATTCAATGAAACGAACCCACGACCTTAAGAATTGCAGGCAAACGGGTTGACGATTTTGCCAGAATCTAAATACGGACAAAAATAAAATGTTGTGTGTGTGTGTGTGGTCCATTTAACTTCATATTGTCTGTAAATTGACACAAATGTAAACGTTTACTGTTGTTTTCTTGTTTCCTGTCCCCAAAAAACCTAACAGTGCAAGGATAAGCAAATGGGTGCAGTCAGTCAACTAGCAGAAGCTCTCCGAGAAATGAACTATCACGTTGTTGCCGAGGCTATACTCAGATGTCATCTTCAACACAAGGAATTTACTCGAGACAGCATCTCCTTCGTGCAAGACGAGGACTTAGCAAAGGGGCAGGTTGCGTAAAGCCTCACCATATTTTACCAGTAGCCAGCTAGGAGTGACGGCTTGTTTATCATCCCAGTCGTCTAACAAAACACCGCATTAGAACAAAATCTTCCCTCGAGGCTTGTAGCCTCTCAA